CATTTTCATAATTTAAATTCTTATAACACTCACGTCAGTTACAGACCACTGTCTGTCAAAAACAAGAAATGTTGACTGTTTGAATTTGTTAAAAAAATCTAATCTAAATATTAATTTGTTTTAATTAACTGATTGAGTTTACAAAAATAATTAAAGTTGTATCGCTTTAATTTATGTGAGCTTTTTTAAAAAGCTTATTTTAGTTTTGATAAACGCCACGGCTGGAATATCAGGCAAATTGTTTTAATATTTTTTGCTAGTTGAAATGAAACATACATTTAATATGGCGATCTAAGATTAAAATCTCCCTGCCCATTTCCCGACTTAAGATTAAAATATTTTATTTATTTATATATCTTTTTCAACTTTACATACTTATTATTATACCAAAAGTTCAATTTTTTTTAAGTACATGTAATTAATACTATCTTTCTATGTATCAAAATCAACTCAGCTTTTGGAATTTTACATTTACTATAATATTAGTATGGATTATTGCTCATCAACAAGGGTAGTTATCGCACTTCATGTAGATTAGACAGTAAACTGACATAATCTCAGTGTGTATGGGAAACCCATTAATTCTATATAATAATATACATTCTAATCTATGATTGTTTGACATACGTATAAAGCCAGCTATTAAAGACAACAAGCTTAATCTCGCTAGATTGACATATCTTTAAAGAATCCGACAGCATTTTCTTCAAGATTAGTATGGAAATAATAAAAAGTATACTATTTTATAATGTGATGTTTTGAGGTAATATATAAAGTTTATTTCATTTATTTTATTACTAGCAGAACCCACGGCTTTGCTTGCGCTAAAACATCCAAAAATACTCTAAATAGGTAGATTTCATACAAACTTTAATCGCATATTTTACCCCCATAAGGAATGAATTTCGAAAAATGCTAATATTCGTATTTACTTAATTGTATTGAAGAGCATTAATACCAGTTTTAAGGAATTCTGCTAATAAATATTTTTTTGGATTGTATTATAACGTGTTTTTCTATGGGAACGAGATAAATCTTCCGCGGTAAAAAGCCTATGCCACTCTCCAGCCCTTCAACTATGCCCACACAAAAAAATCACGCCAATTCGTCACTCTGTTTCAACGTGAAAAAATGACAAATAAACAAACAAATAAACACACTTTCATATTTATAATTTAGTATGGATTTTTTTTATTTATAAATTAGAATGGAAGTATGGATCTTCTTAGGATAGCAGCTTTAAATGAAGGAATGATGAAAAACGTACTTAAGTGGGTTGGGCACGTAGAAAGACTGAATGGCGAAAGAATAGTTAGAAAGGTAGATGTATCGCAGAAAAGGACGAAAGGCGTTGTAGGGATATACTTCGGAGGACATTTTAAAACCAAATGTTTTTGCCACTTAATTTTTTTTTCGCTATGTTAATAATATATGTAATATATAGTAAAGACGTATAAAAATATGGTTTTAAAAAGCTTAAATTCCCTGACAATATATAAGTATATATATATATATATATATATATATATATATATATATATATATATATATATATATATATATATATAGGCAAGGAGAAAACAGTTCTACCTTTTTCTCCTCTGTTTGTCAATCGATTTGGTCTTTTTTTTTGTTTAGTAGCTATTGATGATCTTTAGTGCATTAAACAAAAATTAATGAAACACTTTCTTTGATATAATAGTTAGGTAAAGTCGATTCATATATGTATTATGTTTTCCTCAAATTTCAATAATAATTATGGTCAAACTTCGACTCCTGGTCAAACACTAGCATAAATAAAAAAAAGTTAAAATAAACATTTTAATTCTTCATAAACCTTTTTTTTTCTAATAATTAATTAAAACCATGTTTTTTCATAGCATATATATGCTCTAATAGATATAAAAGACTGAATGATAAAGGATAACTCAAAAAGATACGAATTCTTTAATTAAAATAACAAAGGAGAGAATTGTAGAAATGTTAATTATTACAAAAGTTATTCAAGTCTTTTGAATAGTTTACGAACAAAACCGCAAAATTAGCTTCAATTATAATTCTTGCCCTTTATGTAACTTAATTAGAAAATCTTTATATAATTTCGTTTTTAAATACGAGTATGTAGTAAGTACTACAGGTACGTATTTCCTATATATTTTAAAATTTTAAGTTAAAACACATGCCAAAATGGTCTATTAGTAGGAAAAATTTTTCCAAACAAACTTGCTTCCAATTGTTGGTACAATTTCATAAATATTTTTTTATTCTCATTAGCATGTACTATATTTTAAGGATTCTTTGAACTAGAGCTATTCGTTATTAAAAATTTCAACTTCAACTTACTTTTTTCCTCCAATCTGGAATTTGAACTAAGTGTTAAGCTAACAAAATAAGGAACTTTTTTGTCTCGACCTAGAATTTGAATCCAGGACCTTGATAAATTAAAATACCATTGTGTATTTACACATACGTTATATATTTTATTGGAAAATAGTTTAAAATATATGTAATTTTGAACAAAATATGATCATAGGGCAACCGAGCAAGACATCAAGACATTTGATTGACAACACATTTAGCTCAGTTTGTACTACGAAAATAAAAAAAAAACCTATCCCACGGAAACCGTACATTTTTCCGAGATAAAAAGTATGTCTATGTATTATTCCAGACTATAATCTATCTCTGTGCCAAACATCCAGATCCGTTCTGCCTTTCTGGCGTGAAAGAGTAACAAACATCCACTTACGAACTTTCACATTTATAATATTAATACGGATTTATTTAATTTAATTTAATCTTGGATATTTTCAATAATCTAATACATATGTTCGAGTAATTTTCTGCGGTATCTAAGACGATTTATTCCAGACTTCAAGACTAATTTGACTGATTGTCTTTAATTCAGGGCTTAAAACAGAAAGTATTGAAATTCAAAAATTTTAATACTGCATTTAATTATTACAATATATAAAACAAAGTCGCTTCCCGCTGTCTGTCTGTCCCTATTTATGCTTAGATCTTTAAAACTACGCAACGGATTTTGATAAGGTTTCTTTAACAGATAGAGTGATCCAAGAGAAAGGTATATATGTATAATGTATGCATATTAGAGTACAGAAAAGCCGACGAATTCAAAGATTTGTATTTCATACTAACCGTTACAACGGAACATTAGGGACGAACCCGAGCAAAGCGAGGGTGAGTCGCTAGTTACAATATATGTTCATGTATTTTACGGAACGTACTAAGTCTGCCGCCAGATTGGAAAGAAAAAGCTTGAGTTAAGTAGAATTGGCAAAAGAAATTCGGGAACAACATTTTTTTTTTATCTTTTATGTAAAAAATACATTATGTTTATGATTAGGTATTATATTATTATTTTAACCAAATGTTGAACTCGGCATTTTTGTACAATTTATTTGACATTTCTTCTCATTATATTTGGATTTATGATTTCACCTCGCTTCAAGATGTCACCCAATTGAACGAATAAAACGTATTCTTAAAGAAAAGTAATTTTAGATAACAAAATCTCTGCCTCTCGTTACTCTTCTGCATATTTTTATATATTGCTTTATGTGGTACCGCTTACATATATCTGATTTCATATCATAATATTACATTCGTTAAGTCTTGAATATACGGTTATTTCTAAGGCTTATATAATATTTTTGTAATATAATAAACGTAAAAGCAACTCTGCCTTTTTAAATCGACGAACAGGTTTAGATAAACGTCGTCTCTATTTTGTGAAGTATACTTAAAACAGCATGACTCATATTAGGTAATTTTTTTTAATATTCTTTAGATTTAGATATGTATTTACAATTAAAGGTAATTTTCAACCGACTTCAAAAAGGAGGAGGTTCTCAATTCGACTGTATTTTTTTTTTTATTTTTTTTTTATGTTTGTTAACTCAGAACTTCGTCATTTATTAACCGATTTGGACAATTTTTGTTTTGTTTGAAAGGGTATACTTCCAGATTGGTCCCATTTAAATTTCAAAAAAAATACCACCCCTAAGGGTGGAAAAATAGCTAATAATGAATTTAACCTACTTCTAATTGTCATATTGACTTGAAACTTTGCAAGTGTTTCTATTTTCGTTGATAGTACAGTGGTTCGGTATTGTTGACCTGATCTGATGGTAAGGCCAGAAGGTGGATAGGTGGAACTCTTCAACGGCTAATAGTAGATACTTTGAGTTTGGGATTATTTTGTTTGATTTGACAAACCTAACTAACACGTTAGAATTCTTACTTTGCTACTACTGTCTACACTAAAAAGGGAAAAAAAACTTTTTAACAAAAAAATAAAAACCGACTTCAAACAAAAGCACTAAAAAGTAAAAAATAACTGATTGGTAGTTTTCATTTACTATACAAAACTAATCAAATATTTTCGAAGTCGGTGTGCTTTGGCTAAGTAATTAAAGCCTACCTATTAAATACATACCTAATCAAATATTTTTGAAATCGGTGCCAGCCCATACAAAGCAAAGCACACTGACTTCGAAAATATTTGATTAGGTATGTATAGTAAATGAAAACTACCAATCAGTTATTTTTTACTTTTTAGTGCTTTTGTTTGAAGTCGGTTTTTATTTTTTTGTTAAAAAGTTTTTATTTATAATGTATTTTGTATTTATATATAGGATAATCTCAGAAAGCATCGAAGAGGTTTTAAAAATCTTTAAGTAATTGAGAGATTCCTGATCCAGAGGAGCGTAGGCTAATTTTATTTAAGTACTGAGGATCCCTGGAGACAGAGATTATCCTGTACAGGTCTCGTTTGACCAGAAATAAAAGAAAATCTGAATATAGACAGCAGCACCATCTACTGGATCCGGGTATAGATAAGAACCAACCAGGTGACCTTCATTAAAAAACATATTAAAAAAACATCAAAATCGATCGAGCCGTTTAAGCGGAGATGAATTACGAACTCACGCAAATCAGAATTTTATACATCAAGACGAAAAAAATACACCACTAACCTTAAAGATAAAGCATTTGGTGCAGCAAGTGATATCTTCAAAGGTTTTAACCTCGCTCTTCTAGTCTCCGCTGCTATACTTGGTGGGGTCTGTGTTGCTACGTCCCGACCTCGTCTGGATGGGCCCGATCCTGTACCGTTGCCACAACCATTCATGTAACTTAGCTGTGGATGAGAGACGCTCATGCCGATTTTGTTGCGCTGCGTCCTAATAAATTCAAATATAGTAAGTTATATTTTATCAATTATCATTCATTTATTATGAACTCGTAAGCCATCCCATCGCTAGATGCCCTTCAGATTTATGTTGCCGAATTTCTCAGAAGGGTTTTTTCCAACTTATAAATACAAATATCGTAACTTATTTTTACAAGCTCATAAAAATACAATCTAAAAATCTAAAATCTTTCTACATAATGCAACTTTCTATTGGTGTAAGCCACATAATTTGGTAGTAGTTTCTGAGATTGATCTAAACAAAAAAATCACCGCGGCACCCTCCTTTATTTTAAAATATCCGTGACTTTGTACAATTTATTTTATCTTTTAAATAATATTTCTTATATTTGACAATGTAGGTACACCTGCTTTGGGAAGATCAAGTCAGATTCAATCGCAAGAAATCTGAAAAATTGTTATACAGTTAACTATTACACATAACGTTTTTGTGTCTTCAAAATCCTTAGTTTCATTTCAGTCATTGCAAGAGACTAGAATATGGAATGAAAATAGATTTGAAGGTGAGGTTAGTTTTGTATCGACGAACTATATATTACAATTTGGCTCGAAAGCATAGATAGGCGTTAGTTTTTAAAATTACTTTTTCAATGAAAAGGTCGTCACAAATAAATCGTTTTAAACATAATTACGAGTATGACGTTAGTACTATCTTAGATAAATAAATAAATATGTCAGGACATAACACACAACACCATCTAGTTCCATGGTAAGCTACAAGGCTTGTGTTATGGATACCAGATAGTTGATACACCACGCATATATAACTTTAAATACATACATATTATAAATGTAAACATCCATGACTGGAGTACAAACATTCGTGCTCATCACACAATGAATGCCCATAGCGGGACTCGAACCCGCGACCACCGGCGCAGCAAGTAGGGTCATTACAAACTGAGCCAAACGTGTCGTCAAAGATATATGCAAGTTTTTAGTTTATGACGTCTTAAATGAATCTGATTTTATTTAACGTTTTTCTTCACAGCAATCATGGTCACGAGAGAGACTAAGGTTTTAGTTATCTCAAAAGCTATTACACAATTGTTAATATTATATAGAACACAAACAAAATAAAAACCATGACAGAATTAAGATTGTTTCAAGATTTAAGTGGTCAATTCGTAGCTTCGTTGTTGCGGGATACAACAATTAGTATATTTTCTCATTTAAGTATAGGTGAATATATATATTTGACAAATAAAACTTTCTATTATATATTCGAATATCGAGCATTAAACACTTTAACTTCTAGTGTTTACAGATCGCTAAATTGATCTTGAATTGCTTGAGTCTTGTTTAATGTTGAAGACCTCTTCAAAGGGAAACTTATATAATTAATTATAAAAAAGCTTTACTTTCTTATAAATATGTATGTCAGTAGATCTTTCATTTATTTAACATCAACAGGGAATATTCATGTTCGATATTTACATTAAGAAAATTAATACCTTCAAATAAAATAAAACCGTAGAAGAAAATTAAGAAAACTTTTAAGTAATGTAGGTAATATTAATAAGCCAAATGAACCATATTAGTAATAAAAGATTAAAATTATTGATCAACAAAATAATAAATTAAAAATTTCAAGAACACCTTACGCAAATTAATTATTATCATTTAACAATAGCACTGGCACGAGTGAAGCACTTAATGGAGTAATCATACGCCAAAATGCCTTAAATCATTTTGGAAACGAGCTGATACTCTTACACTGCTGAACCGATATTAATTAAACATAGCTTAGAACCACTGCAAGGAAACTGGCTGTCAAATGAAGAAAACCGCATCGAAATCGGTCCATCCTATACTCGTAAGCTGTATGAATCACGCAAAATTACATACTATTATTTATTAGCCAGTCCTTAAGTCCTCTACTTTCTCCAAAAATCATACATACCATTATGTTACAAAAAAAGGCGAAATATGAATGTACACTGTACATTATCTAAGAAATATGTAGGTTATAGCAGTGCGTGCTTTTGCATTATATGTGTTCGAAATTACGATTTTTGTAGAAAAAATTATATAGTTTTAAAAATTATTTATTTTTTATTTATATAAATATTCTAGTGGCTAAGCCTCTCTCAAGCCATTTCTCGGGTGAGTTTGTCATGTTGTATTAAGATATGTTCACCTTGTCGTTCCATAGATCCACCATACGGGTTGCCCATGGTTTTTTAATAGCAGAGTGGATCATAAAGCAACCCCTTATTTAATGTGGATGACAAGAACGACAATATCTACATATACGGAGAAGGTTCCGTAGAGTTTTAATAGGCTGGCTTTTGTGGCCTGTGAAGTATCATACAACCACCTGAATGTATGTATATATATATGTATATATGTAGGTGAAATGCGCGAGGCAAAATAAAATCCAATCTATATAATATGTAAAAATAACAAAATTAGTTAAATTTCGACAATCACAATTTTTAATGTAAATTTTTTGTTTTAAAACAAAAAAAGAATTACTCAAATCAGTTCAGCCGTTTTTTAATTTTAGCGAGATTAACGAACGGCAATTGATTTTTATATAGGTACTAGCAGAATCCGCAACTTCGGTCGCGTAAAAACTAGAAAAAAATCTCTAAAAAGGTAGTTTCATACAAACTTTCATCCCCTATTTTATATCCCCTTATAGGATGAATTTCGAAAAATTCTAATACACGTATTTAATTAATTTTATCGAAGAGCATTAATACCAAGTTTCAAGTAATTCTGAACATAAATATTTTTTTGGATTATATTATAACGTGTTTTCCCGTGGGAATTGGATAATCTACCGCGGTAAAAAGTAGCCTATGTCACTCTCCAGCCCTCCAACTATCTCCACGCAAAAAATCACGCCAATTCATCACTCCGTTTTGACGTGAAAGAAGTACAAACAAACAAACAAACACACTTTCACATTTATAATATTAGTATGGATCATTATTATACATTATCGTAACTTTCTTCCTTTATCAAAAATTTTTAAATGACAGAACTGAAATTAGCGGATTTTATCATTAAATATTTAATTTATTGTAAAGTTTTTGTTTCGTTTAGGAATATCACGACATGTTTTAACAAGTTTGACAAAATGAATAATTCAATGTTATATTAATTTATACATCAATATCATGAATATACATCATTTTCTCTCTATCAACAAAATTAAATGTGACTGAACTGGAATTACTTGATTTTATCTTTAAATCTATACTTATATTATAGAGAGACAGTTGTTTTTTTGAACGCGCTAATCCCAGGAAGTACTAATCCGATTTGAAAATTTTTGCAGTAATATAAAATATAATCTATCTATTTTATATTATCCGTTTAAACGTACCTAGAGGCGAACCCGAGCACGAGACGAAACGAGAGTGAGCTTCTAGTATTCAATAAACATTAAAAATTACAGCTAAATTAGACTATACCCTTTTTTACGACTTCCTTTTATGTCAGTGAACTTAGCAGATCATTGTCCAGCAGATCAAAAAAAAAAGTGAGTTCTATTCGCATGCACGAGAGTTCTATAGTTCCTGATACTTTTTAGAAATAGTTCTGGCGTTTTTACCTTAAAAAAAGTCAATTGACAAAATGATCTGCTAACTTCCCGTAGCAGATCATTTTGCAGAAAATCAAAAACAAATGTGAGTTCTTCGCGCAAGGAGCTGAGTTCTACAGTTCCTGATACTTTTCAGGAATAGTTCTGGACTCTCAGCCAAGTTCCAGCAGATCATATCCGAATTTTTGAAAAGTCAGAACATACCATTTTTATTGTTTCAAATTATTGTAAAAGGCTAGAACTCTTTCGCTTATCACCGATCTGTATCAGAACTCTAATATAGAACTCGATTCGAGTCCAGAACTCACGTCCAAGTGCCAGCAGAGCATACCTAAACGTTGGAAATTATGAAAAAAAAAACCTATTTTTATTGTTTTAAATTATTTAGAAAGGCTAGAAGCTAGAACTCTTTCGTTTATAATAGATCTGTACCAGAACTCTAATATAGAACTCGATTCGAGTCCAGAACTCACGTCCAAGTGCCAGCAGAGCATACCTAAACGTTGGAAATTATGAAAAAAAAACTATTTTTATTGTTTTAAATTATTTAGAAAGGCTAGAAGCTAGAACTCTTTCGTTTATAATAGATCTGTACCAGAACTCTAATATAGAACTCGATTCGAGTCCAGAACTCACGTCCAAGTGCCAGCAGAGCATACCTGAAGGTTGGAAAATATGAAAAAACAAACTATTTTCATTGTTTTAAATTATTTAGAAAGGCTAGAAGCTAGAACTCTTTCGTTAATAACAGATCTGTATCAGAACTCTAATATAGAACTCGGTTCGAGTCCAGAACTCACGTCCAAGTGCCAGCAGAGCATACGAGAACGTTGGAAAATATGAAAAAAAAACCTATTTTTATTGTTTTAAATTATTTAGAAAGGCTAGAAGCTAGAACTCTTTCGTTTATAATAGATCTGTACCAGAACTCTAATATAGAACTCGATTCGAGTCCAGAACTCACGTCCAAGTGCCAGCAGAGCATACCTAAACGTTGGGAAAATTATGAAAAAAAAAACTATTTTTATTGTTTTAAATTATTTAGAAAGGCTAGAAGCTAGAACTCTTTCGTTTATAAATAGATCTGTACCAGAACTCTAATATAGAACTCGATTCGAGTCCAGAACTCACGTCCAAGTGCCAGCAGAGCATACCTGAAGGTTGGAAAATATGAAAAAAACAAAACTATTTTCATTGTTTTAAATTATTTAGAAAGGCTAGAAGCTAGAACTCTTTCGTTAATAACAGATCTGTATCAGAACTCTAATATAGAACTCGGTTCGAGTCCAGGAACTCTCACGTCCAAGTGCCAGCAGAGCATACGAGAACGTTGGAAAATATGAAAAAAAAAACCTATTTTTATTGTTTTAAATTATTTAGAAAGGCTAGAAGCTAGAACTCTTTCGTTATAATAG